CAAAATGAATATCTCTTTAGTTATTTTGTCACTGTAGGACTCTTTGTTGTTCCCATTTTTCATTAATATCGTATATCCTTAGATGATAAAAGAAATGGAATGGTTTAACATAAAAAGTACGGTGTAACTTTGTTTCGTGTAAGAACTCGATGGGTGCGATTTGGCTCTCTCGGATGAACCGCGCTGGGTTGTTACCAAATTGATTTGTATTATAGGATACGGAACGAATATTCCGTAAGGAAGTTTCCTTTTGTCGGGTTTGTTCACCTGAAGCCAAAATATGTAAAATTCCCAAGCTTTTCCATACAACATGCAGATAATATTTCTTGTATATTGATTTTAATAAACATTACATGATAACATTTTCGAAAATAGTCGAATACAAAAGTCTTTGTGTTTTATCCTTTGGGCCTATTCAGACACCATATAGTCTCTGGCCTATTCGAATATTATTTGCGTTTTCCGTTCCACCAAAGACGTATATAGATAGGCTGCTCATCCTATGTATATACGTCGGTGGTTAACGCTCTGTGGTTTTAATATCGTTATTGTTTAGAATCAGTATGTCTTCCAAAATTATCTCTATGCCTATATACGTGCAACATACGTACTCCTACTTGTATACCACTACATATATGGCTGCCCGTGAAGATCCGGGGTAGAATAAGTCTTCAGCAACCCATGCTTGCCTTAAGGGGTGACTATGCTTGTAAGAGGCGACTAATGGGACCGGGTGGTCAGGCTCGCTGACTTGGTTGATGCATGTCATCGTATTCCAATTGGGGGCGGTCGGGTAACCTAGTGGTTAATGCGTTCGCTCGTCACGCCGAAGACCGGGGTTCGATTCCCCACATGGGTACAATGTGTGAAGCCCATTTCTGGTGTCCCCGCCGTGATATTGATGGAATATTGCTAATAACGGCGTAAAACCATACTCACTCATCCCAGTTGCGTAGATCGATGCTGATGATGGCAATCACTGGATTATCTAGTTCAGACTCGATATTTATAGACAGATCATATAGCTGGAATATTGCTGAGTGCAGCGTTCAACAACAAACAAATATACAAAACATGTGGCTATTCATAGGTTAACCTTACCGCTATCGGTCCATAAATGCGCTCGTAAAATATGAACATAGCATAATGTCAAACGTCTATTCTCACACGCTTCGCCTCTGAAATAATCATGCTCAATGACTAATGTCTGCGTTTAATATGATCAAAACTGGAAAAAAAATAAATTAAATAGGCAAATCAACTGGGTTATATTCAACGTAAGAACATAAATCTAGAAGAAGGAAATGTATGATGTAATAAAAGATTTAATTGACTAAAGATTACGTTCGTCCTAAGGGGCGGTCGGGTAGCCTAGTAGTTAAAGCGTTCGCTCGTCACGCCGAAGACCCTGGTTCGATTCCCGACATGGGTACAATGTGTGAAGGTAATTTCTGGTGTCCCCCGCCGTGATATTGCTGGACTATTGCCAAAAGCGGCGTAAGATTAAACTCACTCACACTCTTCCAGGTGTCTGACACATTGGCATTGGCGAAAACGGCATCTTACTTTTTTTTTTAACTTGGTACTGAAATAAATGAAATTAAACTTGCAAACACCAATGATTGTGAAATGTTAAAACAAATTAATCGCCCGAGAAATCGATGACTTTTTAGCCTGCACCCTCAGAATATATAAAATCTATACTGTCAATACCCAGTTAATTATATTCATTAAAATCCTTTAATTCACGATTGAGCCAATAAATGAAACTTTAATAAACTTTAACGATGACTTCCCTTTGAGGTTGTTAGCCAGAGTACTGCACCCTAGGGGTTCAGTAAGTATATGGGCAAGTTTGGTCAACCGAAGTGTGACGTAAATGAATTACAAGTGCTGACATTGCTCAACTTAGGTTAACTTGGGTAATACCTTGACGAATACGGTCTCATCTTGGTCGTCCAGGGTTTTGAAATCGATGCAAGCAATAGGGAAGCTCTCCTTGCAGGAATGTGGAACTAGTCCTGTAGGGTTTACGTCTTTTCAAGATTACAGTCTTATAAAAACGTATGAACGCCAAGTTGGACGCTAACTGAGAACGTCAGTTTCGCAGTGACTACTCTCTCGTCCAGTTAGCTTTACATGCAAGTCTGTATGACTCCCTTGGGGCTTCTGGGGCGATATGCAGGCCCTCAGTCTGCCTCCCAGACCCAAGAGAATAAATTAAACAAAGGAATCCAATTCAAATCGACAACGATTTGGCAAGTCTAGATTGACTCAGCTGTAAGCTGAAATTTAAGCATTGTTCTACTTCTAGGCTCCATTTTTATTTTGTTAGTCTAACAGGTACACAGTACTTCATGTTTGTCGGAAGAGACGACCGCTACTAAACTTGAGAGGGGATGTTCTCGGTGACATGTCTGCTTGTGTGTTGTATTTGATTGTTGTTTGACGCCGCAATCAGTAATATTTCAGCTATATGACGACTGCCTGTAAATAATCGTGTCTGGACCAGGCAATCCGGTGATTGACGTCATGAGCATCGACACACGCCAATAGGATACGATGACATGCACCAACCAAGTCAGCAAGCCTGACCACCTGATCCCGTTGGTCGCCTCTTACGACATTGTCGTATATCCCGACTACATTATGTCCACCAATGGCGGAACCGACCTGATACAGCTGTCGTAAAACATCCAACACAGACATTCTCGTATCCCGACTGCATGGGATCTTCCTGCAAGATGTCCACCGATAGTGAGTGAGTGAGTGAGTATCGTTTTACGCCGCTTTTAGCAATAGTCCAGCAATATCACGGCGGGGGACACCAGAAATGGGGTCCACCGATAGCGGAACCGACCTGGGACACCTGTCGTAAAACATCCAACACAGACATTCTCGTATCCCGACTGCATGGGATCTTCCTGCAAGATGTCCACCGATAGCGGAACCGACCTGGGACACCTGTCGTAAAACATCCAACACAGACATTCTCGTATCCCGACTGCATGGGATCTTCCTGCAAGATGTCCACCGATAGCGGAACCGACCTGGGACACCTGTCGTAAAACATCCAACACAGACATTCTCGTATCCCGACTGCATGGGATCTTCCTGCAAGATGTCCACCAATAGCGGAACCGACCTGATACAGCTGTCGTAAAACATCCAACACAGACATTCTCGTATCCCGACTGCATGGGATCTTCCTGCATGATGTCCACCAATAGCGGAACCGATCTGGAACAGCTATCGTAAAACATCCAACAGTAGTTGTGTATGATCATTAATTTATTATTGTTAAGTGAGTGTTACTCTGCTTTCTTTGTAAGATTATGTAAGGAGGGTGCATCCGACGAGCGTAAGTCCTACACAGGTGGCATGTTTATCAATAAAACACGTTTCTTTCAATCTGTCAAAATTCAAAAGAAAGGTGCATACATAACCTTGAATTATCAAACCGCGAGGACGTTTGGGAAAATAAAAGATTCATTTGTGATCAGCGTACCTGCACCTACGGCGTATACCAACTGTATGTTTGGGATTACAAAGACCCCGTGAGGATAAAACAAATATCAGGGCAAGCATTGCGATTACATTGTCTTATTCTTGTCGCATTCTGCAGTTTTCCATGTATGTTACATGGCCTGTAAATAAACAAAACTGTACCTGTGATTGATGTCCTGAACATCCTTCTCAGTGTCACACAGCCTGACTACCCGATTCCTTTCCTGATCTCTTTGGACAGGCATAGTTGGCTGGGAACCAGTGTTAACCCAGAATCCCAGTGCGTGTGTGTGTGTGTGTGTGTGTGAGGGGGGACATGTTGGCCGATGGCCAAACATTGTCTAACATGTCCACTGTTGTGTATAGTTTGCAGAGAGCACTGTACTGTACAGGTTACTGGGGTATACTAATTATAATGAGGTTTGTTGAGGCTGACCATGTTCCTAACTGATTTATCACTTCATTGACTTGCCTTTGCACGTGTTTGTGATAGGTGCCAAAGCTGGGTCTGGACATGCTCACCTTTTCAAGAATACCTGGTATCATCATTATAGGAGGGTGGTTACACATGCTTATGATGTACCGGGACTCATACAATGGACCCTGCTTTTACTAGAGATATCTTATGATGGAAACGTTTTTTCAGATTCTATTTACAAAGAACCAATGAAATTGACACTGATGTTCTGGTCTGTGACTGGTGAAAACGCGAATCTTGTTATTTTCTCCCCAAATCGAGTTTTAAGATGTTGTTGGTTGAATTGTCTTTTAATGTATATCATAAAAGAGGCCCAGAATCGCCTCATTTTCAGAAGCTGAAACTGAAGAGATCTAGACTTGCCCAGTTTTTTTGGATATTTCTGTTTCAGGGTCTGTATGAGAGGCTATTAAACAGTTGTGGCTACAGTTGACAAAAAACCCAACAACAGCCCACAACATATGGTTGTTACTGATGTTATCAACCACAAAACTATAAGATTCTAAGATCCTATGTGGAATACAACAACATTTGTCTTCTAATGTTGTTGACTGCTAGAGACAGGCAATTCCAACAATATGAATAGCACAGCAGCCTGTAAATAGTCTCGTTTGGACCAGGCAAACCAGTGACACCACCAGGTAGACACAAGTGGTAGCTTCCTCTACAGCGCTGTATTACACCTGAGGCTGGGAAGAGGGTACCTCTCTCATCACACCTGTCACATGCAGGAAAGGATTGTTCAGCTGAGCAGGCAAACCCGTGACACCATCAGGTAGACACATGAGTCATAGCTTTTTGGTCAAATCCAGGTTCAAACCCCACATGGTTCAATGTGTGAAACCTACTGTTGGCATCCCGAGATCATAATAATACATCTGGAATATTCATAAAAGTAACATAAAATATATACTCACTCACTCATCATATAAATATATTATAATGAACAAAACTATCAAAATCTGTTAAATTTTGTAACTATGACAACCTTATGAATAAGACAACAAAGTCTATGCATGTTGCTAATATTTATTTGCATTTGCATCAAATAAGAATACATACAAAGAAGGAATGCATGATTGGTATGACGACCAGGTATGCTGTCAAGCCTCTATATACAGGGGGGACACCAGCACTATATCGGTACCTGGGAATATCAAGTCGTATCTCCCCGACGGACATGTTTCTGGCATAGGTCAGACAATGTTTGGGAAAAGGAGAAGTTTCAACATTTCGGTCAAATATTAAAATGTCATCGAACAAGAAATCTGAAGACGAATAATGTGATATGACATCATAACTTCAAAATCATTTTCCTGAAATCTGAAGGTTATAAACAGATTCATACACCTGAATAAGATATTGATACGCCTTAACTTTTGAGGGGGATACTCCACCGCCAACTGCTTCCAAATGAAAGCATCATTAATTTAAGAGACTAATGGACTTATATCCTCCTGAAAGGATGAGTTGTATGTCATCTTTAAGAACTTTTCTCCATTTTCCCAAACTTCAAGTCATTGAAAAATGTAACGGACATTTCACGATACAATGCATTATTCATTGATGGGTATATCAATAGATTTTCTAGTAATATGCTTTCAAACTACATTCAGTTACCATGGTTACACGGACACTATGGGTGAGTATAGACATTGGTGATATGGGGACAAATCTCAGGTGACAATTATGCTGACAATGTTTAGTTGTCTTGGTGAAATATTTGTATGGTTTTGTCAAAGTAAAATATATTAATGATGAGCTAGGTGTACAACAAATCTGCATATAATAGGCCACACATCCACTCAGTCGATGAACTACTCACCTATGAAATATAAACCCCCTATCCACTCCAAGGCAGCCCAATGACATTTAAAAAAAAATAAACAGCCGCTAAAATATTCATGTCCTCCACATTCGGCAGCTTGAAATGGGGGACAGCTCCCATCGAAACTGCGATATGTTAAAAAAGCTATTTCAACTGAGCAACACGTTTACGTTAACTCATATCTACGCATTTGGGATACGATGACAAGCATCCTCGTATCATTAAATCATACCTTAAAGCAATAACAGACTATATTAATTAATGTTATAAGATAATACCCATGAACCAATAACGCTGAATACCTTTAAAAAACTATGCAATCAATCAAATGTTTTCTCCAGCTGCCAATCAAATATCATTTAGATTTTTATTTTCATCATTAAGGAACCCATTATTGCCATTAATTAGATTCAAAGATGAATAAATCATAAGTGACATTTTGTTGACAAACAATTTCATAACTTGAGTTTGAAGTTAACGTTTTTATGAATCTGTTTGCCGAACACCCTTGGCTTGAAACCTGAGAGAAGAGGTAATGTCAGATAATGACTTCCTGATTCTACGAAAGAGTGAGTCTGGTTTTACGCCGCTTTTAGCAATATTCCAGCAATATCACGGCGGGGGGCACCAGAAATGGGCTAAATCTACGAAAGAGCAAGCCTCTTGTGTACACCCCCATCTTGAGTCATGAATTTGTAGTTGTATATGGAAGAATATATCAGTTTACATTGGAAACTGGACTGCTTGGACTGGAAACGTCTTCGGTTCGCATAGTCAGGTTTGGGGTTGTTCAGATTTGAGTCCACTGCAAACTTGTAATAAAACTAAAAGATACACAAACACATAGGTGAGGAAGGCTGCAGGACACAACCTAAATAAACTGATCCCTCAGACTCAAACCTGTAAAGTATTTGGTGAGGATATATTTGAAGTTGAGCTGGGAAGTCTGGGCTTGAGAGCAGCATGCAGTATGTAAATCAGTAGTCATAACAATTGGTGTCATTAGAGTTATCTCCCCATGTTTCAGAGACTAATCTGTGTGAAGTGAAGTTGCTCCGAATGGTTTGTTTCATGATAGACTAGACAGAGGAGGAAGTGTTTCAACAAACATTGAAGCACCAAAGTATGCCACTTTTTGCAAGATTTTGAGAAGGAAGGTATGATCCAAAAATGTAAAATCTTTTGGTTAACATTCATTACTTATATTGCAGATATTCCTGGATGTTATTTTCCTGAATGAACAAGGTGTTGATGAATGATTATACAGGTGCAGACCCACAGTGCAGACCCACAGCGGCAGTGGCGGCAGTCACACACAACATCCACTACCGTCAAGACAGAGCTGGAAATATTATCACCTAAAGTCACTCCAGAAAATGCAACACAAACATCAGCTACAACAGAAGTCACTGGTTGTCATGCTGCTGTGTTGTTCAGACATTACAACAGAAGTTACTGGTTGTCATGCTGCTGTGTTGTTCAGACATTACAACAGAAGTTACTGGTTGTCATGCTGCTGTGTTGTTCAGACATTACAACAGAAGTTACTGGTTGTCATGCTGCTGTGTTGTTCAGACATTACAACAGAAGTTACTGGTTGTCATGCTGCTGTGTTGTTCAGACATTACATTTCTCGGGATCAGTTTTTGCTTTTCTATTTTTACGTAGCTCTTGGACTGGAAGTACTGAATCATTTTTTTCCATATACACCAAAGGAATATGTTTCACACAACGTGCTGGAAATTAAGCATGAAAGTCTAGCTGTCCTTATCAAAACCCTTATGTTAAAATCTGAAGACTCAGGGGTCCCTGGATTCAAATAATACAGCAGCAAACTCTGTGGCCCCCAGGATCCCCCTTATTTTCCAACACTGACCCACCGTGTATCATCAGTTCATCAGCATTGTCTTATCTTTTATAGAAGAACAAAAAAATCCAATCACCAAACTACTAAAACATCCGTGTAAGTATTTCCGAGGGTACGAGACTCATCTCTACACAGACATCAGGCTGATCAACAGAATATGGGTGGCCAACCATTCCGGTTATTCTTGCGACTGTCAGGTTATGATATCTGCCCTTTGTAAAGGGGCTGCACACATCTGTATTACATATGGATGTGCCCATATCGATATAGGTCTCTGCTGTTATCCATACCCAACATGTCTTATTTGTCATAGTAGCATGTGTAAATTATTTAACCAGTAAAAGACTTTTTCGAAAACTTAATTTCTACAAAAGATTTAATTAATTATCATGTTTCTGAGGTCATAAACAGCCCAGAGTCTGTGATCTGTGTAGAGATGGAATATACCATCTGATGTGGCAAGCTCCTTCCCAGCATGGGACACCTTCGTTACCCTCCCGGGATCACTGTTGCCACCAGTGAGAATAGCAGCCATTATAAGAATCTTGAAATGTGCCCTCTAACCCCAAACATAGTCACAGTTGTTTTCTTGTGTATGGCACTGGGAATTCCATGATAGTGAATTTTGAAAAGGTTTACTGACTTACCAATTCCCAGATGAATTTATGTTTTCTTTGAATGATCCAATTGGTTTGAGATTACACATTAACGAAATGCAGCTAGATTCCCCCTTACATTCTTACTAGACCAATTACATGATAGTTGAAATGAAATAGAAATTCAAATTGAAAAACAAACAAAATAATTTTTTAGCTGGGGTAAGAGCATTCACGACAGTAATCGCATGTTTGTAAACATAAACGTGAATTGGTTGAGAGTTCAACTCAAAGCATGGTCGTGGTCACCTATCACAGCGGGGAGCTCTGACTGGTGGCAGCTAATAGTATAGGAGCTTGCCAAGCGGCAATGAGACTATTTGTAAAGGGAGATAATCCATGTTGCACTATTGTGCAGACCACTCAAATCAAGACAAATCAATTACACACATGGACAGTAGGCCAGCTACTCTCACTAGTAAAATATCCATACATTCTAGAATTATATGGTAATACCTACATATTTTTATGGAATTCTTCAAAACTCTACCATGCTAATAAAAACACCAATGTCATTGAATACTAATTTATCAAATTAACGTAAAACATTTTTCATTTTGTACATAACAATAAAAACATAAGCTTTGCACTTTCAGCAGATGCAGTGTTACTTATGTACAGTGTTTACATAGTTATAGTACAAACATGCATAGATCTACATATATACAAGTCACAGGAAGGACATTTTGTTGTGGTATCCTAAGATGCATTTTACAGAGTTACCTCCCTTGATTTATTCTACAAAGGAACAAAATAAAGTCGTTCCACATCACATTTTAGGTTTTATAAATGGATACATCATAAAAAGTGTATTTTTTACAGAAATCTCACTGGCACAAAATAAAATATATAGTGAATATGAAACATAGTGTGAGCTTATTTCAGAGGAATAGTAAAAGTGTCAGGTAAAGATGGAATGTTAATTACTTCAGAAATCATATTGGTTAAAAAATGCTATGAAGCATAACTTGCCACTTGATAAAAGAATGCAACTTATTCAACTTCAGAAGCATGAAATAAAAAGGTATATAATTGGTGAAATAGTTAGAATATTTCATGGTATACTTTATGAAGTATCTATTATACCTGTTCTATGATGTACTTTGCCAATGTTCTTCTTGTCTGTATTATTGTTTATATCATGAATCACTTGTGTTTGAGATAGTTGACATCTTGTACTGATACATACTTTCACTGTGTCAAAATCCTCAAATCAGAGATGAAAGAAATCTATATCTGAAGATGGATTAACATATTCAAAAATATACTAATTATCTACCAAAAAAGGTCTATGTTTTATGGTCCATAAATAAGAAACACAACAATTAATTAATTTTATTATTAACATTAAGATGTAATAATCTTATTTATACTCAATAAAAATGATACATTTAATGTCTCTTAAAAAGTTCCAATTTGAGGATTTTTTGTTTAAACATGAAAGTTATCTTGCAGAACTCATACAAAAATACACAAAATATTTATCTGCAAAACAATATTAACTTGTTTCAGTAACAATGCACCAACTTCAGTAAACACAGACAGATCTGTATGAAGAATTACAAAAATATGAAAAGTATGAAGCATAACAAATTATCCCTCTTGGCAATGTGTAGTTGAAAGATGAACTTTTAATTTTAGCAAAAAGGAATGCAGAGATGAAAAGCTTGAAGAGGAATGAATGTGATAAAGCTTAGGAATAATTGTAAATAATTGAACAAATTGTAAAAAAAAGTATTCTTAATGTTCTTTGAACACATTTCAACTGACATAAGTTTTACATATAACTGACAATGAGAATATACAATTGTTCCAGTATATGGGAAACAGTCGACATGAAACTGGCTTACCTCCCTTGGACCAACTGGTTGATGTTTGTGATGATGTAACACAAAGAAACAGACAACATGTTGAAATGATGGTTTGGTCTCCACTGTTTTGCTGAGTACAAAATTGGTCCAAATATATTAAAATATGGTTATTATCCAAAAAATACTATATGCAAATATGAAGATATCTTTAACAGGTATGTATCCTCCCAAATCCTGATGGCTCCTAAAAACGAGCTCTACAAAAGTTCAGTGTCTGTTGCATGCTGTTATTATCTTTCTGAGTAGAGAGTCGGAACAGACAAGAAGATATTTTCCTGAGAACTACAGCTGACCGCAAGAGCATCCCTGACTTAATGACAATGCTTGATATCTATACACATCTCATCATCATAAATCAAAAGGAGATATCTGCCCCTGGTCAAAGTAATTTATGTTTGCCATGAACCTTCAAATACACTACTCCAAAAAAGTTAAAGAACACCTGATTTTTTCATATGACTATAACCTGAATAGTTAATCTGTCTTTGGAGTAGTATACGTTCCATGTGGTCATTGAGATGGTGGCCATCTTTCCTTAAATCGAGATACGTATAAAGCGAATGAAATAAGGGACAAACAACCACACAATGACATTTCCCACCAAACTGTTCTAGATTCAACATCACATGGAGATTGGCTTCTGTGGTAGCATAGAACACTTCGTATCCCCAGAACACAAGTAGGAACAGAAACTATTTAAAGAAACATCCTCAGCTTGCACATAACAGAGTTATCTCCCTTCAACACATGTGGGCTGTCTGTAGCCCGTTTTTGGACGTATTTAACCCATTTGAGTATTTCATCCAGAGTTCATCACACGTTAAATTCCTAATCATGACTTCCTGTAGATGTTTGTGCATACACAGATCGAGTGAGACAGACAAAGTATCAGTTGCTTGTAAACGATGGAATGAAATGGTGAGAGCTAGGAGATGAGAGCATTTCAAGTAAAATTCTCTTCTTTTTTAATAAAATGTCGAAATACTTCATCTTCTGAGAGCTGAGTCCCTGTGTATTTAGATAAATCACATGATAACACTATGATGAGACGGGTCATTATCAATAATCGTCATCAATAAGAAAAGTATGCCCCCAGGGCGTCTCAGGCTTCTGAATATTTCATTATGATGTAAAAATGACAATAACTTCTGAAAGGAAGGAAATCTCCATTTTAATGGAGGACACTTGAAAACATTCAAACATGTAAGTTCTGATTTGACCATAATACGATGTTCTGATGATATATACTATATTCTCATGATATAGTTTAATTCATAAAATATATCATCACTGAGTTCAGAGCTCCTAGTTATAATATTATCCAACAACAGTTACCATGGTTACGAGCGTCTCCAGGAAAGCTGTGTCTGTTTCTGGTTCCACCAGCTCATGTAAACTTATAATATAATCTGCCTGAGAACCAAATTTTTGTACCTTTTCAGATTTAAGAAGTGTAAAAATCTCCATTTCTTATATGATATCAACAAAGACTCAATTATAAATCTTCATTAAAAATAAAAACACTTCAACGCTGATTGGTTCAAGAATATGTGTTAAAATAATCAGTTTCCTTGAACCTCTCCTTTGCATGTAAGTCTGACAAAGACCTCCGTAAGTTTCTCTCATTTACCACACAAACTATTCTATCACACATCTCCATCAATTAAGCTTGTAATTTTTATGTTCAAAAGATAAAAATCCACTGTGTATGAATACATAACTATGGCGTTCTTGGCACACATAGAAAAGTAGTTCCATCGAATATACATACACAAAGACAACGTCCGAGACGATGAAGATACTGGGCGAGTCCAGAAGAATTACCTCATCTTGTCGAGAACCACAAGATGGATCTAATACACCCATAACTGTAAATAATGCAAAAACACACATAAATGTATATTACAATATCATGCTTCTATACCCACTATCTAGGGGATACCCAACACACAAGAACAGAGTTGTCTCCCTTTAGTCAATAACCACTGCACCTTTGGCCGCCAGGAAAATATTCCTGGTAAACTTGTACATACATGATTGTACAAAATGTTCTCTTGTTGCGTATATCCATGCACTTGACAATGTTCCTAGAACAAGAGGTCAGAGGTGGTTTCCGTGGACCATGTGGTATCCTCGTCTGCGGGTACGGCCTGGCTGTTCAGGTCTTCCTCGACAACTTGTTCCACCACTGCTTGGGGCTCTGGTTCGTTCATAGACGCCCCAAATTCAAAATCCATACTGTACTTGGTTTTATAACTGGACAAGCCGCCTGAAAAAAGCATAGTCTGGAATAAGCATTGAAAATCACATCCAAATCAGAAAAATAGCAGGAAATATTTTCATAGGATGGCAACAACATATTCACAGAGGCTCAGGTTAGGTCGGGTGTGCTAACCCACTGAGATACCATGTTGCAGTTTAAAATGGACTCCAAGTAGATCACTCCTTGTTTTATCGCTTAAATGCCGAGTATTTGGTATGACGCGGCCAGGCATCAAGTCACCAACCTTTCTCTCTCTGGCCAGATGCTCTATCCACTAAACAACGGAGGCGGTCTCTCCAAGTCAAGATTAGGCCAGTTTTTATATTTATATCCTAAAGGATAATGTGCTTTCATATATACCCTGAAGGACAGTAAGCTTTCACATATATCCAAAAGCAATCTCATCAAAATCAGACCTTAGTTCCCGCTACTGCTTAACAAAGACCTGAGGACATTCCATAATGTCAGAATTACCTTTCGCGAACTTTGACCGACCAATGAAATGACTAATAAGAAATGGACATTAGCCAATCACAAAGCAGTTTACTCGAGCCTTATGGCACTAGTTTCAAACTGGCAACTTCCATTCCAAACTACAGTTTTGACAAAGTTCTCTACTCAAAACTGAACAAAAGAAAATTAAGGAATGTCTAATAGATAGTTTAGATTGTACCTCCCACAGGCTTTCAAAAGTCTCTTCTCAAATCTTTTAAATGTTTCTCCAATTGAAGCAGGAGATTGAGGATGATTTTGACGAAATCAGTTGTACAGACTGTAACTATTGTTTGGAATACCCCTGTTAACCTTTTCGAGGTTCAATGATTAGAAAACACATTCCGACTGTCACTGTCCCAATCCGGTAACCGATGCTGTGATTGGTCAGATGAAAGGTCATTCTGACATGACATGGAATGGGATGTCCTCAGATCTTTTGCGGTAGCAAGAACTAAGATCTGATTTGAATGAGATTAATCCTAGAGGATAGCGAGTTAGTTTCTGATGCAGTAGTAAAACTGCACTGCCAATACTAATGTCTGCATCTCTGACCTGAGTGTGTTATAGATGTGTTGGACTTGAGTGTGTCGTCCCCTCCTTCTCTTGCCCCTCCTCGGGGAGTCTGAGGGTGGGCGTCGTCATCGGAGGACTCTGTCATGGAGGACCCCACATCTTCCAGGATGAGTATTTCTGACGGCTCGTCAGGATGCAGTACCAGGTAGTCGGCCAGCAACGCCTCCTCCGTTGGGTACTCGAACATTTGGTTGTTGTTGTCATTGAAGGTGATCTTACCCTAAAAAAAGAGAAAAATTTAAAATGTAGTGAATGTGAGAGGTACTCAAACATGGGGTGTTCATTCTAGCTGTCACTGAGATTGAAAATATTGATCAAATGCATCTTCCAATGTTGTATCGCAGAACAGGAGTATCATTAAACACATGAATACTTTACTTCAGACACATTTTCATTACAGATATCACATTCTGTCAAGAGTTTTGAGTATCATTGGCTATCTGGTCAATACAACACTGGTGTCGTGTGTGGAAAGGGAATTCCACTATGGCATATTCAGGTGGCGAGGTCACATGTTACATTAGGTCTTCCAGCCATTGGATATGGCTCAATGGCTTCCTCTAAAGTACAGTGTTACACAAGCCATGTTCTGTGTGGCTATCACTGAAATGGGAATAAATATACTTTTTCTAAATAGAATCTTTTTCTTGGCGGCCTGGATGGTCTGTAAAATCAATACTTATCACTTGGCATGGCCATCACCGATTTGCATCTACTGTGGACGTTATATTTAGCTGTCAGAAACTTGAATGACATGACTTCACTGATCAGCTTTTGACAAGACATGTGACCTGATCAATTTGTTTACACCTGAACAGGTACACTTTAGCTATTTACTGTCTTTTTAATCTCTTTTAGTACCAAAAAGAGTCAAATCTGCATGATATGTTGGTATAGAAAGTGAAACTCAAATAAACTCCCTCCCTCCCTCTCTCTGTTTATTATTTCTCTCTGTGTGTTTTTTGTGTAACTGACAATGTCTGGACTTCACAGTATTCTAATTAGTTAACAGGAAATCAGCTTCATATTCCTTGTAACTCGCCCAAATAATACTATCGGAAATAAGGATTACCTACTTGTGCCCAGGATTTCCTTTACTATGGGTACAGTCGACTTCTTATGTGGCAACATAAGGGATTTCTACGTACCCCACTCAATGTTTGAAATTAGGGGTTCCTGGGATCCTTGAGGTCTGCTTGTAAAGTAGTTCTACATATCCCACTCAATGTTTGAAATTAGGGGTTCCTGGGATCCTTGAGGTCTGCTTGTAAAGTAGTTCTACGTATCCCACTCAATGTTTGAAATTAGGGGTTCCTGGGATCCTTGAGGTCTGCTGGTAAAGTAGTTTAATCAAGGGACCCCAACATTTCTTCCATTGGGACATCAAGAATGGACTTCTCATATATCCAAGGGAAATCAAACCGAGTATTATGCATCATGATACAGGGGTTGTAAATCCAAGTATTGTATCGTGGGCTGGTATGGGGATACAATACAGTATCTATGTATCGTTACACCAATAGTATTAAATAATGTTCGACCTGGATGATTGAATGGGAGTTGTTCATGTTATCAACCACTACCTTGACTCTTCTATACTCGAGTTTTCACACCGCTTTGAGCAATAACCCAGCAATATCACACACAGAGAAACCAGTGAGGCCTTACAGGCTGCACCTCACATTGAAGAGTGAGTGAGTGAGTGAGTGAGTGAGTGAGTGAGTGAGTGAGTATTGTTTTACGCTGCTTTTAGCAATATTCCAGCAATATCACGGCAGGGGACACCAGAAATGGGCTTCACACATTGTACCCATGTCGGGAATCGAACCCGGGTCTTCGGCATGACAAGCGAACGCTTTAACCACTAGGCTACCCGACCGCCCCCTCACATCGAAGAGCACTGAAACTACCGGCTTAGCCAACAGCCCCAATGACACTAGTTATCAAGAGTTACATCATGACAATCTCGGGTACAGGACCCAAGTATATAGTTACAGTCTGAAACCAAGTCTGGTAAAATTCTGTTCGGTATACTGCTTGATAGTTGGCTCAACTAATAACAGTCCACACTAAGCTGTACTGAAAATGATGTGAAGAGACAAGTTTGGGTAATAGACTCAAAATTGTTTGGCACAGACTGTAGTTAGGTTTTTTCAAGTTTTGAGATCAAAATGACTTAATGATGAAAAAGGAATGTGTATGGTTGAGATGACCGAGTTCTGTAACTACAATGTACCTGTATTATAATATATAATAATAAAAAAGTTTATTAGTGTCATGTGTTACAAAGTAACACAACATTTAGCACATACGGTACTTAAAATACAAGCACCAGGCCTCAGAGGGCCGAAATGACACCTTAAGATATTACAAATATTAAAATACAATTAGATATAAAAAGTAATCATGCACATTCTTAATATCTACATATACACTAACACGATCACATTAATCCCAGTCTCTGAAATACAGATTGTAACTCAACATCGAACTCTCGATGAATTTCACCAAATCTCACAATTCCTAACATCTCAGGGGGCCCATGAATAAATACCATTCAGCCACACTGATAGTGCCAGTCAAAAAACAGATGAATATTTAATCTGAGTATGAAGCTCTGTGTTCCAGATGGCCTTTGTGACGGAATAGGTTCTGTTTTATGGCTATGAGTCATTCACTCCTGTTGCTGCGAGGTAGAAACCTCTCTAAATGGGTCAGATGGATATATATCAGTTTATGGGATTCAAATGTTCACAGCAATAACTTTACGATATTGTAGAATTTTTTCAAGGAAATAGTTAATGGACAACTTCCTAAACACAGAAAAAAATATCAAATCATTTCAGACAAGCAAATGTCACGACATATTCTTTGTACAAAATTGACAAAGTGACTTTTTGAATCCCTCTTCTAATGATTAAGAGAAGCAAGACCAGTGCACAAGTTGCAGGTTTTAATGTTTGTTTGTGAACTCTGTGAAGGCTCAGAAGGTAATGCGACATTAATATGAAATTGTGATTTCTATATTAGGCTTACATTCTATCCTGAGTGATCATTTTGGATTTTAAGAGAAATACCTCAACACACTTTTTTAGACAATTCTAAAAAACAAACAGGAATTTTATAAATTTTAATAAATGACACTTCAAAGTCATTAATCTAATGAACCATATTTTGCGAAAAACGGAAAACTTGATATTAACATCAACACACTTTTTTAGACAATTCTAAAAAACAAACAGGAATTTTATAAATTTTAATAAATGACACTTCAAAGTCATTAATCTAATGAACCATATTTTGCAAAAAACGGAAAACTTGATATTAACATCAACACACTTTTTTAGACAATTCTAAAAAACAAACAGGAATTTTATAAATTTTAATAAATGACACTTCAAAGTCATTAATCTAATGAACCATATTTTGCGAAAAACGGAAAACTTGATATTAACATCAACACACTTTTTTAGACAATTCTAAAAAACAAACAGGAATTTTATAAATTTTAATAAATGACACTTCAAAGTCATTAATCTAATGAACCATATTTTGCGAAAAACGGAAAACTTAATATTAACATCAACACACTTTTTTAGACAATTCTAAAAAACAAACAGGAATTTTATAAATTTTAATAAATGACACTTCAAAGTCATTAATCTAATGAACCATATTTTGCGAAAAACGGAAAACTTGATATTAACATCAACACACTTTTTTAGACAATTCTAAAAAACAAACGGGAATTTTATAAATTTTAATAAATGACACTTCAAAGTCATTAATCTAATGAACCATATTTTGCGAAAAACGGAAAACTTGATATTAACATCTATAGAAGATTATGGAAAGGAAGATAAAACATTCTTCGTGTTGACACTTAACTCATTGTAACTGTATTAACTTAGACACCACCACACTATCACTACAAAAACAACGGTCCTCACAACTTCCTCCTTGTCAGGCCCTGTCGGACTCCAGGCTCCCCTAGCCTGATTGCAAAGTCCGGGTCATAAAGCAGGCAGACAATCACTACATAAAGACAGCAATGTTTATTGAAGATGAAAACAGATGAACATTCCTCCGATACTCCATTGATATTTCCCATTTTTCATCTGCAAATTATTTCACTTCCATACAGTTGTAGGGTACCAAAGTAAGCCTGTGTTTGCAATAGAGGGCGTCCGTTCCTTGCGGGGTCAAAAGGCACTTAAAGGCTTCTATGTTCGATGTGAATGATCGGCATCCAAGTCGGGAGGTAGCAAATTTGTGTCAAGTTTGGGCACAAAACATAGACGGTTCTACTAAGCCCAACAGGACCTTGTGGATTTAGCAATGGCCAACAGGCAAGAGTGCTTATGTATTCGTTAAGAAAACAAAAACAGAGTTCAACATTCAGGAGGCCGTCACGGGGTCACCTGGCCTCTGGCCCATAGTTATTTGCCCTCTACATTCGGAACAAATCTGAAGGAATGATTGTAGTTTGGTGATTGTGGCATTAAAAATTGGTCAGAATATTTGTTTATATTCCAACAATATCACAGCAGGAGGGCTTCACATCTTGTTCCAGTGTACCCATGGAACCAGGGCTTTTAGCGTGACAAGTGAACGATTTAGCAACGAGGCTACCCCACCGGCCCGCAGCTTGATGAAGAGGAAGAGTCCTAAAGGATCACTGACTGACATCATGAGCATCGATCTACGCAACTGGGATACAATGACATGCATCAACAAAATCAGCGAGCCTGACCACCCATTCCCATTAGTCGCCTCTTATGACAAGCGTAGATCGATGCCTGGGATGCCAATCAACGGATTATCTGGTCCAGACTCGATTATTTACAGACCTCTGCAAAAAAACTTGAATATTGCTGAGTGCAGCCTAACAACAAACAAATCCTAATCCCAACGGGTAGATAATCGCAAAACCAACCCCTGTTCAACAAATAAACCTGCTCAAACCAGGTGCACAAACATGTACGACGATCACTTGCGAACGCCAACACCATTTGTTTAAGTGTTTCAATCCCCTTAAAACATACTGGCATTGGATCCAACTAGTAATTAATAAAAACAATATAAGGTAATTCCAAACAACCACTTAATCTTCAATCATCTTTGTCTTTTGTCAACCATTTTCACAAAGATACGACAAGTATTAGTATAAACGTTTCAACTCCTCAGCTAACAAAGACGCAGTGGGTATTGGACTAATCT